TCTTGCCAAAAGATTTGGATATTGTATGTAGTCCTTTCTCATGAAATTACATTTTTTAATTTTTTGTCTTTAATTTATTGGCTACCCTTTTATAAAAAAAAATGTAGCCTAAATGAAGTGTATACTTGAGCTGGGCTGCAGTCTGAGGCTGGGTATTTTTTTCCCTTTCATCAAAATTACTGCGCTGCCCCTATTTTTCTATATTATGAAAATTTATGAAGTTACCGGTAATCACTTTTTTATTGATGATTTTTTATATGATTAAAACCCTCTAGACTTTGATTACTCAAATAACCAATTTATGATAGTAATTATTTTTTTTCTGTAGTTGTTATAGTCTTGATAGCCGGTCAAATTATATTACTATAGTTTTCTTTTATATTTTCTATAGTTCGGTTTTCGCAAAAAAAAAAAAAAAAAAGAAAAACAAATCTAGTATATAAATTATATCAAGCAATTCCAATTATGTAACTATATGATGTAAGAACAATAAACAGATTTTCTGTCCATATATAACAAGCATTTTTTTGTGATGATAATTTTACTTATACAAATCAATAAACTACCTTTTTTCATACTTATCATTAACATCTTGTTTATTTAGGCTCATATATAATAGTTTTTGATTTAAATATCTATTTTAGTTTGAAATTTTTTTAAAACAATCAAAAGATGCGATTACACATGTAGACTAAATTGATTAAGAATTGGTCGATACTTTGTCAAATCTTTTGATCAAATACTTGATCTGTTAGTAAAAGCTTGTGATACAGGTTGCATCAACAGTTGAATAAAATCCAACAAGCAGTTCTGATCAAAATTAATATCATGTTTTTAGTTTTTTTTTTCATTTTTTATTTTTTTGTGTATTATTTTTTTGATTGTCTTATAAATTTAATTTTTGTAGGCTCAACTCTTCAAAATTCTCGAGTTTTAAAAGAATCAATATTTCATCAAGTTTTTGACCATTCTATATTGCCACAAACACATTTGTGATTTCTTTTTTTTTACCACTGTAAAATTTTCAACTTTAAATTGTTTAATGTTAAAAATTAAATTAGAAAAAAATTGATATTGACTTTAAAGGCTAATAAAAAAAAAACATTGATTTACTTTCTAAATCGCCCGAGAAACTCTGTCAGGAAACTTGCCATTCGTAGTAAGCAACCCGAAGGCGACCTTGATAAACTATTCGTGAGATTAAAACAAATGGAAGGCATTGATGATGACAAGTACTGGAGTAAAAGACCACACTGGAAACATCCAAAGTGTGATCGAGACAAAAAAGCTCGTACAGCATTGCAGAATCTGAAAAGCACTATGCTCTGTACATCATGAGCTGATTGCCAGAAAGACTATTACAAGTTAGGTGAACTTTGACAATACTACTCTTGTACTTAACGAGAGTTGTATTACAGTAAGTACCTCAACCCACTTAAACCATTCATGAAGAATGTACCTCGCCATATCTTTAACAAGCTATTTCAGCTGCGAACAGGTCATGGTGCTCTTGGGAAGTATTTCCAAATGAGGTGTATTACTGAGAGAGATTATAACTGCGAATGTGGACAGCTGGAAACAGTTGAACACGTTCTTAAGGAGTGCCCTCTACATCCTGTGGAGCGTAGCTTCTTAAGTAAAGTTTCCCCGGAACTTGATCTAAGAGTCCTGCTTGATACCAAGAAGGGTCTTGGAGCGGTAGTCAAGTTCTTGAACTCATTACCGCAACTTCTTTGCTGATGGTTTGCTTGATTAGAGCAGCTTGTTAAGGTTTTACTGTGTGTCAATCTCTGTTAT